GATCGTACGCTAATCGAATCTACAAATTGATTATGTCATCTCAAAACTTATTTCGAGAACTACATTATGGGCATATTGAATAGCCCAAACAGATATCGAAAATAGTTAAAAATACGTTAAACGTGAGTCTTAAAGAAAGACATCTAACTCGCATTTTTTTTAAAAAAAAAATCAATTATTTCATTAATATTTATTATTTTTGCGACACAAATTTCTCAATGTAATTTTCATCATTTTATTAGAAAATTTTATATGAAATATAACGTCAAAAATTTTCGAAATTTTACATCCAAAAAAGTTATATCCCATGTAAATTTTCGGATGCAAAATTACACGTGGATGATTTTTTTGAACGTAAATCTTCGTTTGTAAAATTTCTCTCAATTTCTTTGCAAGTTCGATTGTACCTCCTTAACTTTAAATCTCTGCATCTGCCCCTGCCTATAAGTGCATTCAAGGAATGAAACTAGACGTGATGATGAACATAACTAATACATAATTCTACAGAGAATTAAAGTAGAAAAGTGAATTCATCGTCCACTCAAATATATTAAACATGCCTTAAATGTCCAAACACAAACGGACAAAGACCCCCACAAAAAAATTATATTACAGATTCATAAATTACTATTCTCAGAGAACTAACAAATGAGTTTAATGTTGAAAAACAATATTTCTATAATGAAAACAAACTGAACTTCAAAGAGGGACCAAGAGTGGGCTCTTCCCCTTCGTAAGATGGGAAAAGCCAAAATCCAATGGCTCCACTTCTGTTTTTATCTTTTCATTTGCAAAAGCAATCACCAGGGCCTCAGATTTGATATGCAAACTATTTTACAAATTTGACCTTAGAATTTTGATCCAGTGATTTGGTAGTCACGTGCAGTTTAGTAATTTTATCAAATTAATATCATCCTCTTCCAACAAGGAACAGAGAAGTCAACTATGGTTTCAGAAATTCTTTGCGGCACTCAAAAAGGAAGGTGGGCAATGCGTAGCTATCAGTATTAAATTCAATTCAAAGTCTTCAGAATAGAATAATGATGTTTTTCAACATCACTGTTGATGATTTGTGTTAATGGATTATCGTTACGTTGTCCAATGATATTGGAATTCAATTTTAACATCAATTGAGTTTGTATAGTGGTTGTAAGCTAATTACTTTGTGGAAAAAACTAGGCCGTGATTCAACGAAGTTTTGGATGGATATTATTACTTTAATCTTTTATAACAGCTATTTGAAAATCTATCTTATCTTGTCTTGCTTATATAAGCAAAGGGCAATTCAATATCAGTGACGGATCCAAGATTTCGAGTGAGGTAGGACGGCCGTTAACCATTGACCGTTGACCGCACCATCTATCAACTCCTCAAACAACACGACATCCCCCTTTAGAACACACATCTTCTATATATTAAAAGTGGCTATGTAACGGAATTTTTTGTTTTTAACGGAAAAACTAACGGAATTGTTGTTTTAACGGACTATGTAACGGAATTTCTTGTTTTAAACAGACAGCTGCACCTTCTTTAAGTGTTTTTATCATAACTTTGTATTCCGATTTCCGATTGAGGCAATTCAAAATGCGTTGGAAATCTAACTCATTTGGTTACAACTTTGATTCAGACATCATTCTCCAATTCAACCACTTTATATGCCAAAAATAGGTCTCAATATAAAGGACTATGTAACGGACTT